GCTCTGGGTTTAACATCATTATATCTCTTTTAATCTTATCAGGTTTGTGGGGCGGTGGGGTAGCGTAGTGGTTAAAGCGGTCGTTCCTCACGCCGAAGACCCGAGTTCGATTCCCCACATGGGTACAATATGTAAAGCCCATTTCTGGTGTCCCCCGCCTTGATATATTTGGAATATTGCTAAAAGCGGCGTAAAACTAAACACACTCACTATCAGGTTGGTTTTTCCATATGAAATTAAAACACATTTTTTAAAGTCTTTCAATGACACATTTTTTAGGATTTGGTAGAGATGAGAATAGGTGGTTAAGCTTTGGTAGTAGTAGTGATTTAAGAACAGTATTTCTTCCGTACCGGGTTAAGGTACGAGCTGACCAAATGTTTATTTGCCTTTCCATCTGAGCTAGTTTTTCGTTGTAGTTTATTTCAACCATATTATCAATATCAATATCGAAATGTATTCCCAAGAGCGTGAAGTCTGTTTGTGACCAGTCAAAATTCCATTCTTTACATATCTTATATCGGGATATCTTTTTGGAGCCTATCCATATTAGTTTAGTTAATCTACGTTGACTTTTAAACCTGAAAAACGGGCAAATAGTTCTAAAGTACTCAAAACTGCATAGAGGCATTTCTCTGATCCGTCTAATGGAAGTGCTGTATCATCTGCGAACTGTGATAGAAGATATGCTATACTTCCAAGTTTAATCCACTTTATATTTTTGTTGTTCACGTAATCTAGTTTTTAAATTCCTGATATGGGGCGATGATTTCGTCTTCCTAAAAGAATTGTCCTTATTTCCATTTATTCAAAATTCATTTTTTATATCATTTGTAAATAAGCATTTATAAATTTGCGCCTGTGTTCATTTCTTCTCATCTTTCAAACTTTTGTATATTAAGTAGTTCTTACCGTGACACAGAATCCTCGCATAATATAATGTTTAAGCGAGGTGGTTGGAAAATCAAATGATTAAGCGTTTGCTCGTCATCACAAAGACCCGGGTTCGATTACCCACTTGGATACAATGTTTGAAGCCCATGTCTGGTGTCTCCCGACGTGATATTGCTGGAATATTTCTAAAATCGGCTTAATCCGTAGTCAGTGACACGTATCGTAGTGTCCCTGGCCAATTATAGCCTTAAACCGAGGAGATGCAGGAGATTTATAATAAGGTGACCAACTGGATGGATGGGTCAGGCTTGCAGACTTGGTACATGTCATCGTATCACAATTAATAAGTGCTCTTGATGTCAACCACTGGATTGCCTGGCCATGACTTTCACATATTGCTGAGTGAGGCGTTAAACAACAAACAAACAAACAAACAAAGCTTATATGTTTCGTTTATGTCACGGAGATGTTGCTATTATTGGATCAGATTTATCACTTGATAGTTATAAGTTATTAGCATCATGTCGATACGTGTTTCTTACCATTTTGAGTAAGATCGTTTTCAAATCTTCTTCTATTAAATTTTCAATTTTTACGAGCATTCGCAGAAAGCAAATATTGATGTTATGGTGTTCCTAAAGGAAATAATGTATAAAATTTACGCGTGGTTCGTTGACTTGTAAGTAAGGAGAACTTAGAAGCTTTCAAGTTGATTGACTGATAAGACAGCTCTGACACGCTCACCTGGAGGTGTTCCTAGATCCTGATGTAGAGAAATATAGCCTGGCATAGAGAATAAAGCGAGAAAAAGCCAGATGTATCCAGCTCAAATGATCTTTACAATCATCTACGACGAAACAGCCACAGAAAGTAATCATTGTTTTAATGTTTAGTTTGTGTACACATCGAGGTGACGGGATCGAGCCCACCTGTGACCGGTTGTAAAAAGCTTGGAGTTAACTTTGTGTTAATTCTTTCAGTGTTGTCACAACCCCTAGTGTACAGTACACAACCCTGTGCACTTAAAAGAACCCACGAATCCGTTGGTATATGATCAGATGGTGGCCACATGAATACGTGCAAACACCTAGTTGCAGGTACAGCAATGTGCAGTAAACTTGGACAAGGTACTGTGACTATGTGTCCCAGTCCACCCAGCTGTGAATGGGTACCTCATAAGGATGGGAATGCCACACTAACTCGGTGCGCCTAGTGGCTGCAAGAGTTGTATGCTCCCCAGGCAGTTGAGATTGACAATACGATGTGCCATTGAGATTGACATCTATTGATCGAAGGAAAAACAAAGCGCCTTTGAGCTGCTGAGCTGGATATGGCGCTATACAAATGAAACTCACGGGCGAAAGAAACGTCACCTCGCCTTTTTACATGTCACAAAACAACAAACTCAGATTTTGTAAATTTAACAATCATATGTGGAAAATTAATAGATTTAAAGATTCATTCTGAATGATGAAAGTGTGAACTACAGATATGAATAATCACTTAGTGTACGATAAAAGATAAAAAATATCATTTTGGTGACGTTTCGTTTCTTTCGCCCGTGAGTTTATGTATGTATGTATGTATGTATGTATGTGAGGTGAAATTGGGTTTAACGTCCTGCTTGAGAATATTTCGCTCATATGACGACGTGCATGCGTGTGTATGTGTATGTGCGGCTGCTTGTACTAGCCCAGACTTAAGCTGGTTTCATAGTGCTAGCTCACCATGCCGCAATGATGCATGAATACCCCACTCAGACACATTATACTGACTCCGAGCCGACAAGTCCTTGTTGTACCCATTAATGCCGAGCGCCAGGCAGGGACCAACAAGTACCATATATTAACGTCTTTTAGTATGACGCGGTCGGGGATCGAACCCGCGACCTTCCGCTCTCCGGGCGGACGCTCTAACCACTACACCACGGAGGCGGTCCGTATGTATGTATGTATGTATGTATGTATGTATGTATGTATGTATGTATGTATGTATGTATGTATGTATGTATGTGTGTGTGTGTGTGTGTGTGTGTGTCTGTCTGTCTGTCTGTCTGTCTGTCTGTCTGTCTGTCTGTCTGTCTGTATGTATGTGTTTTTTAATAGAATGTGAGTGAAAAAATCTTCTTGATCTGAAGAATGGGAGTGTCATTAATTTTAAGGTGTTATAATCTGTGGTTCATTAGACAAACTGCAATTCTATATGTTATTTTCAAATTGCATGCCTCAGATATTTGGATAACATCAATAGAATCTGTTTATGGCGGAAATAAGTCAAACAAGCCCTACAAAATGTTATAGTTACTCCCCTTTACCTCAGGCTTCGCTTTCCTGGAAATCACGTGACAGGAAAGTCTCGACAACTCTGCACAGTGAGGTAAGTACGAGAGGATCAGTCAGACAGGTAGTCAGTGTGAGATTTAGTGGATGTGTCGGAGTGAGTGAACAAGACTGTGGAACTATTGTAACAGTAAAACCATTTCTGTTATTTGGATATCTACCAAGATTTGTACTTGGGGCGCCCAACCATGCTACAATGTGTTCAAAGTTCTACTTTCGATATCAAACCCTGTTATCAACCCGAGACGGGACCGTTCATGAACAGTTTTTCATCACTGATAAGAGTCGTCAGTAGTGATCCGCTTACACTGCACACGTTGACCTAAAGTAAGAATTGCCGCCCCATCGCCTATTTTTTGTTGTTGTTTCTTTGTCGAGGTGTCAGTAAACTATCTCGGGTAGACGCAAGAAGGGAGCAGAATGCATTCGAAATCGTCCTCTTTAAAAAAAATAAAATGCGAATCATGCTGACGTATAGGATTATCCCACGGCGACATGGCGAGTTGTTTAAGTGGCAAAGCAAATATCACATTTGAGTTCAGGTGATGTACTCATTTTAAATGTTATTTAGGTCATGTTGAATTTTTTCCAATGCAATGATATCTGACAAACAAGCATGTCAGATATCAGAGGTAAAATCTTTTCTTGGCTGTGCTTTTCTGTTTACGAGGGTCGGTCAGAAAGTAGTCGGCCTAACTATGTTCTCGATGTCCACTGTTTGAAAAGGTTCCATTTTATTTAGAAGGAATCATGAGCAAAGCCATGTCCAACATTTCACATATGTGGGTAATGTGGTTAACGAGTTATATGCTAGTCATCACAACACATTGGGGTATAATATTTCTGAAAATATTGCAGAAATGAAAAACGATCTGTCATTTGGGGCCTCTTGGATAACGGTATGTCCTCAGATAATATCGTATAAAATATGTTCAGTATTGTATTGGACTTTCCGTCATAATCAACAGTCAAAGATTTGGATTGCTTGACCCCAGCCATTTTAATAAACAATGTGTCCAGATATTTAAGCTGGTACTGTTTACAATATATTGAGTGTTGACACTTGTGTGACCATTCAGTTTTTAGTTTGAACCCTTGTATGAATAAGTGAAAACATTAGAATAGATTATGTCCTTATGATGACGTCATCTGAAAGGGGTTGGGTAGTGTCTCCATAACAGGCTCTTTCAGTAAACATCATGGGGGAGTCACTTGAACAAGCGATTGCAGTTTCAAATTGCATTTTTATGCACTTTAATATCTACGTTTGATTCTACAGGACCCCTGCCTATCTCAAACACACTAAATGTTTCTTACATATTTTGTGTCCTGAAGTTTGTGATGCATTTATTGCAGATTTTGTGTTTGTGGGGGGTATCAAGATAAATAGCCAAACAAAATGGGCATCGTGGGGCTGGAACATAGCAAAACTAATTTGCTTGAGGTTGACAGAAAATATGTAGAAAATAAAACTTAAAAACAGCTGCATTTGTATCATTTTCTAGGTGAGACCGACTACCTTTTAACCGACCCTCGTAATAATGTAAAATTAAATGATGGACGGGCTTGACTTTCAGTACACAACAAAAGAAAGAATATTTCGATATTTCTAGGCATTTAATCTCCTTAAAACCAACAACGTGTACCAATGTCTTGGATGATAACATATACATAAACTATTGTTTGCTATTTAAGGGATCAGGCTTTCAGAGTTTTGCTGCAGGTCCTTATTTGTGACATTCAAATAGACATGTAAATTTATTGTAGACTTCATATTCCCGTACCCCCATCCCTTTGAAAGCACTGTCCCGAGACGAGATCCCTTTGCCACGGACCTACGGACAGGCGCTTATTTCGAGCACAGAATACAATAACGCGTGGTTAATTAGTGTTTTACAACATCAGATCATGGAACGAACTTTGACGAAGAAGGATCAGAAACAACTGAACAGATGGTTAAACGCAAGGAAAGACTTTGAACTTCTGTACAAGGCCACCCGTGATGGTTGTTCCAGCACCGCCTTCCACGTGGAGTGTGACAGCAAGGGGCCTACAGTCACAGTCTTCTATAACACGTCGGACTGCGTGTTTGGTGGCTACACCTCGGTCAGCTGGGACTCTGCTGGTGCCTACAAGGTCGACCAGACAGCATTCCTGTTCCGTTTGTACTTCCAAGGTTCCAGCAACCCTAAACAATACCCAGCAACAAACGGCAACGAGGCAATTTACGGACACGCGACCTATGGCCCTATGTTCGGTAGTGGTCATGACATTTACAGTTTCAACGGGACTGTGGCTTGAGCGGTGCATCCTTCCCACTGAATGGTTCTTTGGCTCCTGGTACAAGCTACGCCATGGCGGGAGACAATGACGCATAACTGGCCTGTTCCAACCTCAACTGCTACGATGTGGAAGTCTACAGTGTGAAAGGTGGGTTGGTGAGACAATCAGGAGTTATTGTCGACCAGTGAAGATCCGGGATACATTGTCTTCAGCAACCTGTGATTGTCGTAAGATGCTGCTAACTGTATCGGGTGGTCAGCTTCGCAGACTTGATTGCTGCATGTCATTGTATCTCAGTTGCGTAGGTCGATGTTCATGATGTTCATCAGCGGATTGTCTGGTTCAGACTCGATTATGTTGCAGACCGCCCTCACATAGCTTAAAAATGGCTGAGTGCAGCGTTAAACAACAGAGCTATTGTCATAACATAACTTTATGAATACGAGTGACCACGCGGTCAGATTTGTGAATTGGCTGTTTGTGTGTGTTTCGACCCTAGCGTTGTTGATCATTACCCACAATATCAGTAACTGAAGTTCGTGGTCCAGACTTGAGTAGGTCCTTCCTGCCAGCATATACCTGGAAGATTGCGGGGGTGAAACAACAAACACGTTTATTGTAATCGATATGTTGTTGTTTTTATTTATACGATTATTGAAACATGCACCATAACTTTTACAGATGGAAGCATTCTCAACGACGATCCATGGAGACAACTCACAGAATCTAAATCAAAGGTAGACTGCAGTTTTCCACGTCGGAACATATTTATATTGTCAACTCAATTATTGACATTACACGATAAGCTCCTTTTGAGGAAGCTATTGCAGAATAGTTTTCGATCAGACAAATTCGACAAGACAGGCTTATAATCAAATGGTTCTATGTTTGTGTCTCCAGCCTGCATATTCTGACTGTCCACAACCTCACAAATTATCTAACTCCCATTCATATATTGGTAAGGGTACTTTATGCCTATTTTGGTGACTTAAAATACACTTTTCAAAATAGAAACGCACAGGCCAAAAGTAAGAACGTGTATTAAAGGAGAATACTAACATTAACACAACTTTTCATAGAGGTAAAGGCATTCTATACGTCACCTTCCGTGATTAAATTTGAACTAGAAGTTCACAGTTCACAATGGCTCTCTCTTTGATTTTACCTCACAACTTAACATTGTCTATGGATTCTGAAGCAATAATAGTGGACGGTTTCTGATGTCATTTCTGAAATGGATGTTAGACCGTATCAATACGATCCGATTATACATCTTGCAAGAAAATGTTCCAGTGAAGATGAAGAAGAATCAAGCAAAACGAAGCCACCGCTTGATGTCAAAATAATTTTAAAAAGTAGACCATATACTTTATCAGGAATATCATTTGTCAGCAAAATGTGACACATTCCAACCAGCACACCCACCCCTATAAATGAATGACAAGTTTCTAAGAAAATATGTTTTTGAAATGTGATTGCAGTTCCCTTTGTGTCAAATGTGGGTGTCTGGGCTTAAAATATAATCATGCTTTTGACGGGAAAAAATAAAGAAATTATCAAAAACAAACAAAGAAAAAAAAGAATAATACAAAGATTACACTGGAATTATTTTGTCGAAAAAAAAATAGGATCCATAATTCTCATTAATAACGTATCAAGTTTCCAAACAAGATCCCAACCTTGTCGAGAAGAGATAATATAAGCGACGCAGATAAGTTATTCCCCGAAAACTGGTGAATTATAAAATACTAGTCAGGGCAATGTATATTTCCCTAGGTTTAGCTTATGTAAATAGTTATGGTGCTCTGTCAAAACCTTAGAATGACATCTTGTCAGCCAATGAAAATACAGAACAACTTTAACGGCACACACTACTGACAAATAGCGAAACTTATGCCGAGGTGCGTAATTGGACAACATAGAAAACAGTGAATGTTACAAGTACTTCATGATTTGCCGTTGTATTCGGCAATGTTTAATTTCGGGTCAGATTGCAGCATGTAGGCATATATAGCGAAATATTTTCAAGCTTATATGAAATCGCTTACTGATTTTATTAATATATATCTCATGAACTGTCCCAGTATTTAAGTGTCGTACTTAAATGTACGTACGTAGATTAAGCTTGAACATGGATGAAGGGAATTCGAAACACAGATGAATGTATGTAGTGTTGTCATTGTCAGCATTAATTCAGTTTACTCACTGCAAGGTAGGACACAAGGGGGCGTCCAGGTCAGTATCTGGTGACACCACCCCTTGTAGCCGTCACTGCTCGACACCGCCTTGGGAGGGATTTCACAAGTCGTCGTATTTTGCTTGGGGAATTGTTCGTCATTCCTACTGCAATGCGTTGGCAAGTTCTGTAGATGTCTGAGGTTTACGGACGCGTCGATCAAGCTCGTCCCACAGGTGATCGGTCGGGTTCAGATTAGGTGATTTTGAAGGCCAGCGAAGGACACATTGGCGAGATAGGCACCTGTTACACGAGCTGTGTGGGATCAAGCGTTGTCGTGTTGAAACAGTTCCCTCTGGCCGTTAAAAAGTGGGAGGAGGTGAGGTCGCAGGATTTGGTTGATGTAGCCATTTGAGAGTGCCTTGAACCACCAGTAGATCTGATCTACCCCTGTAGGACATGTCGCCCCACGCCATGACGCTTTCCCCACCAAATCTGTCATCTGTTGGGAGCGGACCGCCTCCGTGGTGTAGTGGTTAGAGCGTCCGCCCGGAGAGCGGAAGATCGCGGGTTCGATCCCCGACCGCGTCATACCAAAAGACGTTAACATGTGGTGCGTGGCGCTCGGCATTAATGGGTACAACAAGGACTGGTCGGCTCAGAGTCAGTATAATGTGTCTGAGTGGGGTATTCATTCTTCACTGCAGCATGGTATGTCAGTGGGCTAGCACTATAAAACCAGCTTAAATCTGGGCTAGTACAAGCAGCCGCACATACACATACACACATGCACGTCGTCATATGAGCGAAATATTCTCAAGCACGACGTTAAACCCAATTTCACCTCACCTCTGTTGGGAGCAGTTCGGCGCTAAACATTCCGTATCGACGTCGATAAACTCATCGTCTCCATCCCGTCGTTGCAGGAGGAAACGCGATTCATAGCTGAAACAAAATCGTTCCATGCGTTCGCCGGGCCCCATACCTGTACCGTGTTGCACCATTTGACACATCGTTGTCGATGTAGTCGTGTCAGCTTTTGTAGATATGCTCGAATTCCCAATTCTCTCAGACGATTTCTGAGGGTGTTGTCGGAAATTCTTCGAAGACCAGGCACCTGTACTGCAGTGTCCGTTGCTGTAGCAAGTCGGTGACGTAGGTGAAACACTCCGCCCTGAGCAGGAATGGTCACTCTTGGTCTTCCACTTGGTCTGGGAGGATCTTGCGTCGAATTGAAGCGGGTATACCAATGTCATAATCGAGATATGGTGCTGTGGCGGACGTTGAAGTGTCTTGCAACGGCAGACTAGGACTCCCCTGCTTCCAAACGTCCAATGGCGATATTTCGGTTTGTAGCATTCAATCTAAGCATATTTTCTCCTTGTTTACGTGAATTTCGTAATGAAATGATGAATTTGGTTTGGCCGTTTTTAGTCGATGTCTCCACTCATGTGTCCATCGCATTACGTGCACAACGTTTCCGACGTGCACTTTTCATGTATCGTTTTCATTTTTTATGACTAACGTTTAGAAACACATTCTGGGTTGCGCTTGCGCTCAATACACAACAACCACGACGTGATTAACGGGATTCAAACATACAAATCGTTTTAATGACGATTGCTATCAAAATATTTTGAAATGAACTGCTGAAAACGCCTATGCGTTTCTTTTTTTGAATAGTGTATCTTTCACTCCTAAATTGGTATGGACAAAAGCAACGTAAGCACTTTTCACAACAACCTGAGAAAGTATGCCCAACCTCTATAACATACATTATCTATCTGGAGGTCTGCCAATAAATACTGCATTTAGGATGTTTGATTCCTTGGTTTTACAAATATTAACATATGGCTCTGAAGTGAAGGGTTTCCAATACAGTGAAACAATCGAGAAGGTACGGACTAAATATTACAAACGGATACTTATCCTGCCAGCCCACGTAAAGGTCCGGGTTAGAATGTTCCTTCAGTAGCCCTTGATTGTCGAAAGAGGCGACTAACGGGATCGGGTGGTCAGGCTCGCTGACTTGGTTGACACATGTCTTCGGTTCCCGATTGCGCAGTTCGATGCTCATGCTGTTGATCACTAGATTGTCTTGTACAGACTCGATTATTTACAGACCGCCGCCCTATAGCTGGAATATTGCTGAGTGTGGCGTAAAACTAAACTCACTCACTTATCCTGCCAGTTAATGCAAACAACGAGGCTGTTCTAGGGGAATCTGCAAGACAACGACTGTATGTTTATCACATCACTAAATGTATTAAATATTGGACAAATTTTATCTCTATGAACAATAACCGTCTACCTATATACCGGGAGTACTAAGGTCTCGCGAAGTGCCGTGACCTGCTTACGGACCTATACCCAGGGAACAGTGGGGTAGCCTTGGGATTAACGCGTCCGCTCCTCACGCTGAAGACCCGGGTTCAATTCCCCACATGAGTACAATGTGTGAAGCCCATTTCTGGTGTCCCCCGCCGTGATATCATACTCACTCATTCATCACGGATTCTACAATTATACGCTTGTTACACTTTACCCCCCATTTTATCATACGCATAGTGATATTAATTTTGTTCTGGCATGCGTGTCATTTTTAATAAGCTATTACTCATCTTGCAGCTACTGACATCAATGTCTGTGCTTCAAGTACTGAAATCTGAGATCGAAACATATTCCCCCATCGATGGGGTGAAGGTGGGACGAGTCAATATTCTACTGGTGGGGGCGGTAGGAGCCGGTAAGTCCAGCTACTTCAACACCATGAACTCAATCTTCAGAGGTCACGTGACTAGTCAAGCCTGCAGTGGAAGTGCCGAACACAGTCTTACGACGCATGTGAGTCGTTTTGTGATATTTGTGTGTGAAAGTTTCCGTCTTGTTCATGAAAAGAATATTCTTACAGTACTACAGGAGAAAGAAAACACAAAAAGAAAAGTTTCCGTAGACTTCCTTGTCCTGGTGACCTACTATAATTCAGCTTATATCAGGGTCCCGATCCACAAAGAATTCGTAACGTTCCGATCTGTCGTAATTCAATAGTATAACATAGGCCTACGAATGTCCAAGCACTACGAACACATTCTTGATCTAACACCATATCCCACGCATCTTCACGAGGCAAGGGAGGTAACTAAGAAAGTCAAGCCTTTTTAAGGCGTTAATGATGGAGCGATTATATGCTGAAAGCCATTAAAAATGCAATTTGACATTCATACTTTCTTTACTCACACTAATTTCAACATATATAAACCTAACTGGCAGAAATGTTTTAAGTGAACATCTGTGAATAATTTCATCTGAAAATGTCCAGTCAACAACAACATCAGTGACGCAACAACGACATCACACAAAGGAGGGGTCACTTGCAGTCAATATCCTATGTGTCCACCGTGCGCTGTAAGACATGCTCGCAGTCTTTGGGGCATTGAAAGACACTCATTTCTCAGGAACAGCTGTTGGATGGTCTGCAGCCTCTGATGGTCTGTGGTCTGATCATGATACCACCCCCTCCAAAACGATCATGTTCAAGGACACAGTTTGGCGCAAGTATTTCTCCTTTACGTCGATAAATCTGTTGACGTCCATCTGCAAAGGATAAGTTAAACCTGTATTCATCTGAAAAAATGACATCTGGGCATGTCCTGTTGCCAAGATTGGCCCCATTTGCTGCCCATCGCTGTCTGGCAAGTCTGTGGCGATGCAATAAGGTTGGACCGCGGTACGGGTGACGACACCGGATGTTGAAGGCAGCAAGGCGTCCTTGCACCTTTTGGGCGCTGAAATGACGTTGACTTGTCCCAGTTGTCCTCCCTGCCTAATCATCAGCTGTTTGGAACCGATTTCGCAAGTGTTAAACTCGGAAATTGCGGTTTTGTCGAGCTGTTATCACAGGTGGTGCACCAGGTCGCGGACGATCAGCAACACTTCCGTTAGCACGAAAACGTTGTCTGAGTCGACTTACAGTGGATGGATGCACATTAAAGTGCCTGGCAATCATCACATCTGAAGCACCTTGGCTGACCATACCGATAACCTGATTCCTTTCGTCTCGTGTCAAGTGTGGCATTTTCTCAAAGTGATTGAGTTCCACAATTCCTTGTGCTTTAACAGGGACTGGGTGCAGGTAATGCATGTGCACAACGTGTTTCATGAATGTGGTTGTGTTTACGAGAAATGTCAAAGGTTTAGTTTTAAGTATCAAAGTTCATGTGAGAGGAATGCTCCGGGACTCGAACTCGAAATGGGCCAGAATAACAGCCTGTTATCCCTACATCCTCTGTATCGCAGGAAAAATCTTGAATAGAACTTTTGTAAGTTTCAGGACAACAAATACCAGTTGCGTTTTTAATGGCTTACAGTATAGTTTTGCTGGAGACAAGTCTATGCATATTCCGAAATCGCTCTAATCCCTAAACAAAAAAATTCCGTAAGTAACGGAGAAAAAATTGTTCCCGTACATTATTCAACTTTTACAACATCGCTGGACAGTTGTCCTACTTGTTAATCAGAACCATCATAATAAACGTGCGTTCGATCGACAAACCTGAAATGGTGACAACTACGTGTACTCGTAGTAACCTGGAAGATGCTATATATATATAAATGTAAATCAAGTGTTCTCTTGAAATTGTTGTTGACATATTTTATTGATGATTCATAGATCTATGAGAAGCGGGATTATCAAACCCTTTGCTAGATATACATATTTAAATGTAAACACATTTGCTAGATTTATTAAGTTTTAAGTATTCTTTCCTCATGTATGAGTATAACAATTATAAAGTTTTTAATTAAGTTTTATTAGCATATCTCGATAGATCCATGTTTATGTTATGCACATGAACATAGTGTAATGATACCAAGGGCAGGAAACTCTGACATGTATTTTCTCTTAGTATCGGAAGTATAAAGTGAGATCCCCTGAGGGTAAACCACTCAAGTTCCGACTGTGTGACACGAGGGGCCTAGAGGAAGCCCAAGGAATGGACGCGGCTGATGTGGTAGCCACATTGGATGGACACCTTCCTGACAAATATATGGTACTTCATGACGCTATTTAGATAATAGATCTCGCATCATCGATACAAAACCCAAACAGAAGCAAATTATGATCAGTGAAATGACTGGTCAAATGCCTCGGTTGGTATAGGTATTCCATGTTCATCCAAATATGTGTAACTTAGTTCGTTTTAGTTAAATTAATCCACAATTTATATGCTGCCCAAAATCCTTATTCAACATATTTCCACATAACGTTTAGTATCATCTGACGTCCATGTTGATAAGTGAAGGTCTGGAACATCGTCCGCTTCAGGTATTGGTATTTCACGCAGATCCATTCACGACAGTATGCTTTCGAAAACATATATAACAGATCCTATTTGTGTATTAATACTGTCATTGATCAATAAATGTTTACTTCTGTGGTAAAGTCGGATCATCCGTCATCATTCGCCCCTTTCCGTAATAGGTATTCGGTATAACACGAGTGGGTCACGAATGATTTCGGTTCACAGAAGGCCCCCGGTGACTGTGCCTTGAGCTATTTCACAAAACACGTGCACTGTACGCAGGTGCTTCTGATTCTGTGGTTCGGTCCATAGTTTAATATGTACAGTCTATGATGTCTCTGTGATATTGGGAAGGCCTTATGGGTAAAGCGTCTGCTCGAAACACTGAAGACCTTGGTTTGATTTCGGATTTTGTTTCAATGTGTGAATTTCGGGTGTGATATTACCGGAAGATTGCTAAAAGCGGCTTAAAATCATACTCAGTCACTCACTCTGTAATGTAAGAGCACGCAGACTATGTTTGTTTCAAACCCACTGTTTTGTGTTCCCAGTTTAACCCAGCTCTGTCTATTTCGCCTGACACCCCTGGATACAAGAAGACCCCTAAAACACAAGACATGATACACTGTGTGGCATTTGTCATTGATGGCTGTTCCGTAGACGTGTTCCCGGACAAAATTCTGCAGAATATGAAAGCTATACAACAGAAAGCCAACCAGAGAGGTAAACAAACTCAAATATTTTTGACCCATGAAGAGACCAGAGTTAGAATTGGTCTTCAGTAACCAACCAATGCTTGTCGTGAGAGGTGACTAACGGGACCGTGTGGTCAGGCTCGCTGACTTGGTGGACACATATCATCGTATCCCGACTGCGTAGATCGATGCTCATGCTGTTGATCACTGGAATATATACTGACCGCCGCCACATAGCTGGAATATTGCTGAGTGCGGCGTCAAACAAGAAACAGAATTTAACTACTTCAGCCGGTGGAAATTGGAATTTCATTTGAAACTGTCTTGAGAAACCTACTACCACTCTTGCCAGGAGTACTATACATGTACATGTAGATATCACGCTGTGTCATTGCGAGTGGTACTACTGTCATGTGAGAGCAACTGGGAAGTTTTATACGTGAATTGTAAGACCTGTTTGAAGGATCTCTCTCTTTAATTGTAAGACCCAGCGTAAATAGTTGTATTAGTATCATGTAAATGTGACATTTATGTAGCTGAAAGTTACAGTGCTGTCACCTGAATCTAACCGTAGCCTAACATGTTACATGTATATATATATATATGTCTAGTGTTCTAAAACACAAGCCTGTTTTCGTGGAATTCGTTTCTTAACGCGACTGCCACGTTGTTTCACTGTGAGGTATTCGGTCGCATTATATTTTATTTATTTATATTTTCTTATTCATTTCGTTTAGACCGTGCAAAACTTAGTTGGCTTTTTCCTCGCTCAATCAAATCCTGTATTAATTTCTTTGATATATTGATTTTAATATGACTCACCAGGGAAGTCAAAATTAGTTCTGTTCTGAATTATATTCTATGCAGGTATACCACAAGTGGTCATCTTGACCAAGGTGGATAAGGCCTGTCCACATGTTGAAGAGGATCCAGGGACCCTGTTCTACAGCCCTGCAGTCAGCGAACTGGTGGAACAAGTGTCCCAACTCATTGGTCTGCCCCGTGCCCACGTTCTGCCCGTGAAGAACTACGAGAAGGAAATGGAGCTGGTGGATAACGTGGATGTTCCTGCTCTGATCAGCCTCCGTCAGATGCTAAGATTCGCTGATGACTATCTCTACAACTTCCTGGATGAGGAGGATAAAGATGAATAAATATATGTTATTCATTACTCCATTTGGTCATAAACAACCAGACCAATGTACCGTTTTTCAAATCGCAAAAATGAAAAATACGTTGTCCTTTTCACCCCTGGCTTATCTCAATGAAGTAGCACGGTTTTTTTGCCACACAGCTAGTACATGAGATTTATGGTTGATCATGATGAGAACACATTCGATGTAGCCTACATAATCAAAACTTGCCTCTCCTTTCTTGAATCCAGCAATATAAAGTGCTACTGCTTTAAGTATTCGGTTCAATATATTTGTATATTTATCGGAGTCACGCTATGTCTTCCCACTTTTGATTAAATGGACAGCTGGGTAACAGATCGCATCTGAGATTCAGAGAAACGAAACTTGGAACAGTGTCAATGTTTTTCCGGGAAACATTCTGTTCCGGTCAGTTATGAAGACAAAGACCCATAAACGTGACATGCCTTTCCTGTACTGAGGAAATGAGACAACTTGTGTATGTGAAAATTCCTTTCATTTGGATGTGATAGATGTGTGGTTTGTTATCCTTAGATGTCGATTGACGATGATGATGGTGCTGAGATCACAACTGTTGATTCTGTTGACATGGCCTATATGTTATATCATCAAAGGAGCTTACTATCTGAAAATAAACAGAATCATATGAAATTACGTAAAGCCTTTTTGTTTTAAAGTTTGTAATTATTGTTTTTTCTTGCATTACTGTTCAAGTCAAATGTATAGAAACTGCCAGTAGGTTTCGGATTCCTTTGTTATTGAAAAGAGCTCGATCATATTGGTTTGAAAAATAAAGGTTTCAGAGATTGTAATGCTGTAAAAATAATTAGTCAAGCGACTGTGCAACCCGAGCCGCCTGTGTGCCCTGAACATATAGCGGGCCATTGGAGACAAACCATACCAGTGGGTAACTACGTAAGTCTGTGGAATATATTCGCCAGGAAGCTTGTATGCTTGTCCTTGATCTGGTGGTCAAGCTCTGACACCTTGTATCATATCAACGTTGCTCATAATATCATTCACCAGTTACTCTTGTTCAGGAAATCTCGGAAGACCCGGGTTCGATTCCCCACAATGTGTGAAGTCCATTTCTGGTATTCCCCGCCGTGATATTGCTGGAATATGGCTTAAAGCGCGTAAAACTTCACTCACTCACTGACTCACTCACTCACTTGTTACATGCGGAGTTAAAAGACATAACACATTTTAACATTTTGAAGATATTTCGAAATTTGCGGAATAACCTTCTAATGTTATTGCTAATGAGTCGCTTTGAAAGTGGTATGTGACCGTAAAATTAGCAAGCCGTTCACATCGTAGGAGAACTTTGAACTATCAAATGTAGCAAGTAACACTTTACTTTCAATCAGGGATTGTGTCTTGGCAGGACCTGGTCATCACAATCATTGGTCTCCTCGGTCTTCCAGGTCTTGGACGATCCTGCACTTCACCGATGGCAATTAACGTCCTTCCTCGGCTAATAACCGCGTGGTTAATGTTCCGGTCAGCATCGATGTTGCCACACGACATCATTCCTGCGTCATGCATGCTAATGACTTACCCATATTCGTATATATTCGGAAAGTCCTGTCACGTCAGGAAAGGTTAAATTGTAGTGCTGTCGCCTATTAAATTAGTCCCAAAACCTGTAGTGCACATACTGAAATGAGGAAATTTATACCCCCAAAGTGCTTGGCGCCAGCGCAACCCGTGCACATCCGACCCACAGCTTTAGAGATGAAGTATCGATGCATTTTACCTATTTCTATGTAGATGTTGAGAAACTCACCCTCGGACAAATAATCTATTTTTTAGATACCCGATACTAAAGGCTTTCGTCCTCCAAATTCAATTTTCATTTTTTCAAGATTCAGCCTTTTTAAATCAATGAATAAATTCATTTATAAATTTGCTCCTGTGTCTTCTTATCTCGTAGACCTTCGCATATTTAGTAGTTCTTACCTTGACACAGAATCCGCACACTATAAAATGGTAAAGAGAGTTATATGGAAAGCCAAGTGATTAGGCCTTCACTCGTCACTCTTAAGGCTTGGGTTCGATTCCCCACATGGACACAATGTGCGAAGCCCATTTCTGGTGTCTCCCGACGTGATACTGCTGGAATATTGCTAAAAGCGACGTGAACATACTCACATACGAGTACAAGTATCGTAGTGTTCCTGACTAAGTATAGCCTCAATAGAATATGCTGGTAAGAATTGGTTTACAGCACCCACGCTTGTCCTAATTTCTAAAAAGGTGACCAACTGGATGGGATGGATCAGGCTTGCGGGCTTGGTTGATGCAACTCATCTTATCCCAATTAAGGAGTGCTCATGATGTTAACCGGTGGCTTGCCTGGCCAAGACTCAGTTGTCTACAATCTGCTGTCATAAACTGATGCGCAAAGAAAGTACACAGGTTGTGTTTCTTCCAATAAGATAAAAATAACTAAACCTTTTGATGAAATGGAAAATGTATGTTGAAGCACACTGCAATACACGTGTTTTATCAGCAAAATGACATAGTAACAATAAACAGCGATGTAGTGATGACCACTGCAGGCGGTTCCTACGATGCTGGAAGGTCAAGGCCATTCCACGCAGCGGTCGGTAGGCCCATACATGCCAGCAGGACGAAGTCGTCTTGCCACTGTGAATCGGCTTACGCGATGACCCAATGATGTGGCTTCTGATGACGTCACCGTCAACATCCAGTTGCGTAGTTGAATAACCCGCAGATAACGATCCTCTTGGGGTGTTGTGACTCTGGAACGTCCACTTCTGGGTCGATCACATGTCTGGCCTGTCGTACTGAAACGGTTAAACAGCCGAATTATGGTTTGTCTTTTGCAACCCAATGTCCTTGCAATATCGCTGTTGAAAGTACCCATTTGTGTCATTCCTTTGGCCCGTTCTCGTTGCGCCGACGTCAATCTTGGCATTTTCTCGTGAGATTTCTGTCAACTGATTGTTCAGTCTTCACGACAAACAGGTTTTATACTCTCTGTCAGAAAAGTGCAGGTGCATGGGACAATAATCACAATTTTACAAAAATTCGTGCAAAACACGTACAAATGTTTTTTGGTTGCATTTTGGCTAAAAAAACATGATGGTTGCGTTCTATACAATCAATGTTTTTCAATAATTTTATTAGTTAGAACGCATATTTGGGATTGCAACAACAATTACACCTGTGTACTTTCTTTTGCTCGTCAGTATATATTGCTGCGTGAGGCGTTAGACAACAAACAGACAAACAAACAAAGTATATGTTTATGTCGCGGAGATGTTGCTGTTGCGGGATGCGATTTATCACTAACTTAATAGTTGCATATTCTTAGCATCACGCCGATGCGTGTTTTATAACATTTTAATCTGATCATCTTCAGATCTTCTGTTTTCAAATATTTATGTTTACAAGCGGAAACAAATATTGATGTAATGGTGTTAATCGAGGACATAATGTGTAAATATACGCGTTTCGCCCTCTTGTAAGGAGAACGTAGAAGCCTTCATGTTGATTGGGTGCTAAGAAAGCTCTCACACGCTCACCTGGGGGTTCCCAGATCCTGACGTGACGTGAGTGAGTGAGTGAGTTTTCAGCAATATTCCAATAATATCGCAGCGGGGGACACCAGAAAAGGGCTTCACACATTGTACCCATGTGGTGAATCGAACCCGGGTCTTCAGCGTGACGAACCAACGCTTTAACAACTAAGCCACCTCACCGCCCCGGCTCAGTGAAGAATGCGGAAAAAGAAACGATTATAATCTCCCTCTAACTCAAGGGGGATTATCATAAACATAAACATAAAGTAGTCATTGTTTTGATATCTATTTGAAGACGCATTTGTGTCTGTGTACACATATGAGATATTCAATAGAATAAGAGTGAAATATCTGATTAAGCTGAATAATGGATTTTAACTGGTTATAATATGTGGTTCATTAGATGAAGTGCAATTCTATATCTCATTTTCAAATTGCATGTCTTAATTGCTTGGGTAACATCGATCAAATGTATTTCTTTGTTCCCTGTAGCAATCAAAATTAAATTAAACATCTTTCGTGACACAAAACAATCAAATATGCCCTACAGAGCTACTTCCCTTTTCCTCAGACTTCGCTTTCCTGGAAAACACGTGACAGGAAGTCCTCATTTGTTTATTATGACATACAAATAGTCATGAAAATGTATTGCAGACCTCATAGGTCCATAACATTTTGAAAGTCCCTAGACAAAATATATTTGCCACGGGCCTACGGCCAGGGGCTTATTTTAAGCACAGAATACAATTACACGTGGCTAATTAGTGTTTTACAACATCAGATCATGGAACGAACTTTGACGAAGAAGGATCAGAAACAACTGAACAGATGGTTAAACGCAAGGAAAGACTTTGAACTTCTGTACAAGGCCTCCCGTGATGGTTGTTCCAGCACCGCCTTCCACCAGAAGTGTGACAACAAGGGGCCTACAGTCACAGTCTTCTATAACACGTCGGACTGCGTGTTTGGTGGCTACACCTCGATCAGCTGGGACTCTGCTGGTGCCTACAAGGTCGACCCGACAGCATTCCTGTTCCCGTTTGTACTTCAAAGGTCCCAGCAGCCCTAAAAAATACCCAGCAACAAACGGCACAAATGCAATTTACGGACACGCGACCTATGGCCCTACTTTCGGGGGTGGTCATGACATTTACAGTTTCAACGGGACTGTGGCCTTGAGCGGTGCATCCTTCCCACTCAACGGTTCTTTGGCTCCTGGTACAAGCTACGCCATGGCGGGAGACAATGACGCATCACTGGCCTGTTCCAATCTCAACTGCTACGATGTGGAAGTTTACAGTGTGAAAGGTGGGTTGGTCAGATACTTTGGTTCCAGGAGTTATTGTCGATCAGTGCAGATGCGGGTTAGAATACATTTTCAGTGTTGTCGATCGAAGCTGATAATGGGATCGGATGGTCAGTTTCACTGATGCATGGCGTTGTATCTCTGTTGCGTAGGTCAATGCTCATGACCTATAGTGGCCATCAGTGGATTGTCGGCTTCAGACTCGATTATTTGCAGACCGCCGTCATATAGCTTAAAGGTCAAATGCAACGTAAAACACAACTTTGCAGATTCTGATACCATTCGGTATGGACTAACGAAACAAATCGTCAAAAATGCAAATTCAACTTATAAAGTTGAAAAATAACGTTTCACTAATTTTCCCCCGAAACTGGTTTCAACAGCTGGGCTGCTCTCATAGCACGTGCGCAGTGAAATAGGTTTGCGCAGCTTGGAAGCAGGTTGTCCGGCGAATAATTGGTGAAGGCTTTGGTGTGAGCTATTTTTCTAATGTTTTGTTGATATCTCACAGGCACGAGTTTTTTATACGTTATGATAGTAAATTAACTGTTTATATAATTTCATTTGTCTATTTCACCACACGTTCTTCTTACCGAGTCACTTTCTCAGTTCGATACTTAAAAGGAATGTCATTATTTAGCGTTGACAGAATTTCTAACTGTGATA